TTTGTAATTTGTGATCAAAGTGTATGATTTTTGTATTTGTAATTTGTGATCAAAGTGTATGATTTTTGTATTTGTAATTTGTGATCAAAGTGTATGATTTTTGTATTTGTAATTTGTGATCAAAGTGTATGATTTTTGTATTTGTAATTTGTGATCAAAGTGTATGATTTTTGTATTTGTAATTTGTGATCAAAGTGTGTGATTTTTTGACGCCTAAAAAAAAAAGAAAAAAAAATGTTTAGCCCTACTGGGTATATTAAATATGCAAATATAATTACTATTGATTTTTTGTAAATGATTTTTGTGATCAGAAGTACTTGATTTATTTACAAAAAAAAAAAAGAAAAAAAAATGTTTAGCCCTACTGGGTATATTAAATATGCAAATATAATTACCATTGATTTTTTGTAAATGATTTTTGTGATCAGAAGTACTTGATTTATTTACAAAAAAAAAAAAAAAATGTTACCCAAAAGGTGATGAAATGATATACAAATAAGTGCTAAATGGATTTGATAATTTTTATAAATGATTTTTGTATTTACTCTTTGTGATCATAAGTGAGTGATTTTTAAACGCAAAAAAATAAATGTCGCTCAAAAGGTAATGCAATGATTGGATAAATTTTGTAAATGATTATATACAAATATAACTGATAATGGATTGGATAAATTTTGTAAATGATTTTTGTATTTTATCTTTTGTTATCATAAGTGAGTGATTTTTAAACGCAAAAAAATAAATGTCGCTCAAAAGTATGCAATGATTGGATAAATTTTGTAAATGATTATATACAAATATAACTGATAATGGATTGGATAAACTTTGTAAATGATTTTTGTATTTATCTGAACACAAGTGAGTGATTTTTAAACGCAAAAAAATAAAATGTTACCCAAAAGGTAATAAAATGACAAGAAAATAAGTGCTAAATGGGTTGCAAAATTTTTGTAAATGATTTTTGAATTATTTTGTATTTACCAGTATTTTTTTGTGATTTTTGAATGCAAAAAAAACAAAAATTAATGAAAATTGTTTTGCCCTATTGGGTATAAATTGTTTTGCAAATATAACTGATAATCAATTGTGATCATCAGTGATTGATTTTTTTAATGTCGATAAAAAAGTTTGCAATTTTTACGTTTTGTTTTGTGAATTTTATGAGTGCTGGCAACCCCTCTCTTGTATGCAAAAGGTTGTTTTGATTGATTAGATTTCATCTCCTCATGCACAGCTATTTGGATAAGGTTAACCATAGTCCCATCTATTTGATAAGGGGGGTAAAATAAAATGAGTCAATCAGTAATAGTGTTTACAGCTCAACGTCAAATTTGAGCCTTCAAATCCATGTGTGTCCAGAATTATCCAGGTTTGAAAGTTGAAATGACCACTCGTCAATTTAAGATACTCTGTGATATATAGAAAAGACATTTATAGAAATAGTGAGTAAAATTCCTAGTTTGAGATATTTTTAAAGGAATTATGTGATTTTCGTACATTTCTAGTACTTCTGAAGACTATTTACAAATATTCAACACTCAAAACAAACCCCAAAATGATGCATCTGTCTCTTTAAGTGGAACAGAAAAAATTGAAAAAACTTTTAAGTGTTGAAATTTTATTGTAAAAATCTACAAGTAAATACAGAAAACTAATTTAACAAGTTTTGGATTAATTTAACAATAAATTATTAAAAATAAATTTAATTTAAAATTTAGGCCTAGGATTACATTGAGAATGGTAGGAAGGTGAGATAACTCCAGTAGCCTAAGAAATGACGAGCCTTATTAATGTTAAAGGGGCAGTATGAAAGATTATCATTTTCAAAAACGTAAATTATACCTAAAAATATTCTAAAGTATGTTATTTATATCTATGTATCTTCTTGATCAAACAGAATTTGTTTTAAAAGGGTTAATTAAAAACAGAGAGTGCTAATTGTTAATTAAGCAGTTTGATCTAGTTTCAGTGTTTGACTTTATAATGGCTTGATATTATTAGTTGAAATCTTTAGAATACGTAGAAGATATATTTCTCTACAATTAGGCGTTTATTTTACTTAAATCCGTACAGTAGTTTTCTAACAGCTTTCAAAAAACATAACAAGCTA